TGATCTGTTGTGTATAAGTTATAATAAGTCATTTCCAGTTCTCAAGAAAGTGAACTACACAGAGTATTCTCAAAGACAAGTTGTTAATTTGTATTCAATTGTTAGATAGGTTTTTACTTTAAGGGTATGTCTAAATTACGTCTCCGTACAGCCACTGCAGTAATTAAATCACTTTTTACTCCCGAGGGAATTCTGCGCCACTGCGCACATGCAGAATTCACGTCCCCTGAAGATTTCTTTGCTTCCCTGCAGAGAAATGGCTTTCTGACAGAGAAGCAAAGAGAAGCCGCAAGAGCAGTCACAGGGCTGAGCGTGTGAAACTCTGTCCCTCTCACTTGCTATCTTGGTGTGCCTGACTTGGAGGGGCAGGACCCTGGGGCATAGGCGCCAACTCCGTTGGTGCTCCGGGGCTGGAGCACCCACAGGGAAAAATTGGTGGGTGCTCTGCACCCACCGGGAGCTCCCCGCCCCACCCCCCTGCCCCAGCTCACCTCCGCCTCCGCTCCACCTTCTCCCCTGAGCACACCGCTGCATCTTGCTTCTCCCTCCCAGCGCTTGCGCCACGAAACAGCTTTTTCGCACGGCAAGCCTGGGAGGGAGGGGGAACGCTGCACACTTGGGGGAGGTGGGGCCAGAGCGGGAATTTGGGGAGGGGTCCAATAGGGGCAGGGAGGGGTGGAGTTAGGGCGGGGACTTCGGGGCAGGGGTGGAGTCGGGGCAGGGGCGGAGTCGGGGCAGGGGCGCGAGCACCCACCTGCGCAGAAAAAAGTTGGTGCCTGTGCCCTGGGGTGTTTCTGGGCAGGCCTGGCCCTTCTGCTGCGTCAGGGTTCGGTGTAGCCTCATCACCGAGTCAGGGTCGGGGGGGGGGGGGGGGGGGGGGAAGAGAAGAGGGGAGTAGCCCTGTAGGATCATCTCCCACCTCTGTGCAGCCAGGGGTCTGTGCTCCCCACTGCCATGCTGGAGCCACACATTTATTTATTGACAAATAAAATGTGCAGAAATTTTATTTTTTTGGTGCAGAATTCCCTCAGAAGTACAGACTTTTGCATGTCCCGACTACGTTCCTTGTGTTAGTGGTGCATGACCCACCAGGAGTGCTTACACCAATTTAACTGTCAGTGTGGGGCAACAGTCCATGTAAGCAACACAGTGTCTATACAAACACTGTGTCAACCTAACTATGTCAACCTAAGCACTACGCCTCTCGCGCAGGTGGAATAATTAAATCGGCATAGTGGGCATTACATCAGCAGGAGCAACATTTTAGTGTAGACACTTAGAATTAGGTTGACGTGAGCTGCCGTGTGTAGATCTAACTCTAGAGCGTAGACCAGGGTTAACAGTATCTTTTGTTGATTAAAACATGCAACGTGCAAGTGATGTGTGTATCATCCAGAATTCCTTCAAGTTAATTTATTAATCCTGTTCATTTCTTAGCCTTTATTGAGCTTAGTTCACGACTTATTTCAGAGCTTTTCCTTCCCATTCCCAATTAATACAAATATAAATCAGTCAGTCCACATATTCAGCCCACTTACGTGTCGTAGTTTTCCCATATCTCCAGCAGTCTCTCCTCCTGGTAGCACACATTCCTTAGGTCCAATTTGAACCAGCAGAGCTTCAAGGTTTGAGAATTGATCATTATCTGGAAACTCACAGACACCCAGCTTCCTGAGCGTAGTGTCGACATACCCAACTCCAACTATTCTTTGTCCATCAGCAGTATATAGCTTAACACCCACAACACCAATGGCAGTCGACATGTCATTATTGCCAAAGAGAATTTCCTCAAACTGGGCAAGGTTACCTGGAGAACCCTATTTGAGAAAGAAAACTTAGAATAGCACTACAATTTTTTTCTAATCTCTTGCAGAACAAACATTGTCAAGGTTAGTAGAACAAATTGGGGTTTTTTTGCATTTCAGTGAAAATCAGAGTTCTAAGACATCGCAAACTTTAAAATCAGTCTGAATGGAAATAAAAAGCAAATATGATAATTAACTACATTATAAGTTCATATCCAATAAAATCCACTCCCAGTGCAATTGGATTCCCAAACTATATTGAAATCTGAAACTGCTTTTAAAATAAGACAACGGGGGTGAGGTAATATCTTTTATTAGATAAACTTCAAAAGCTTGTGGCTCTCACTAACAGAATATACACAGAGTTCTTCTTCAGGTCTCAGGTCTTCTTCAGGCTCTGTGTAAGCTCAAAGCCTTGCATCTCACCAACAGAAGTTGGTCCAATAAAAGACATTACCTTACCCACCTTGTCTCTCTACTATTTTGGGACCAACACAACTACAACACTGCATTCAAACTAAGAGGTTAATTTGAACTACCTTTCTAGTCTGAAATTATGTTACTCTAATCCATAAGTGTCAAAAACACCCAACTTGTATTTGTGGACCACAGGACATTCAGATTCTACACAGTTTTAGCTTTTGATTAAAATAAATTTCCTGTCCTAATGGTTGCAAAGAAAGCCTAAATATGATTAATACAATGTTGTCTTTGGAGTGTGAGGATATAAACATTTTGGAAGATGTAGTGTAGTGATTTTTTGATGCTGTAAAACATAATAATATAATATGTTTGTACATACATGCTTTTTTTTTATTAAAGGCACAAAGGGACAAATGAAATACACCATGCTCGCAGTACATAAAATAGACAGGGTTCTAACTTTTCAAACTATTAAGACTATACTTGCAGAAAAAAATTATGAATTTAAACCTCTAGCCATACAGTGAGTCAGTTGTCCTGAAGCTCCCCTTAGAGCATCATATGGTACACCTGCAGTGCAGGATCCACCCACCCTGGAGTAGTGGGGAAATGCTGGGACATACAAAAAGGTGGTTGACACCCCCCCAAAAATAATATGGCCAATTGGAGGCACTGAAAGCCTGTAAGAAAGTTTGAAATTGGACGAATAGAAGTATAGTAAACATCTGCATTTTTTCCACTTTGATCATATATGGAGATAGAAAATTGTACCTTGTATGCCAAATACCAGTCATTCTCTTTGGTAGATTTACTTCCTGCTTTGTTCTTGTAAATTTCAACTCTGTACTGACGAACCAGAAGTAGATCTCTCAGAAAAGATTCAAAGTTCATTTTACTAAGCACAACACTCTCGAGTTTCTGATTGCCTACAGGAAAAGGAAAAGAGAATAAAATATTTGTAAAGTAAACATAACTATTGGTTTTCTTACATACATTCTGTAATTGAGAGCTCTGCAAAGGATAAATTTAATAACCTTTAGACTAGAGGATACAGTATTATCTTGACAAGCAAGGAAGAAACAAGCACATAAATTCCAAAAATCAAAATAAAAACATCTCACTTAATTGTAAAGAATATGTGGATTTCCAAGTGTTAAGAACAGATACAGATTCTGTAGAAAACTTGATTTACCCAGAAAGAAACCAAGTCCATTTCAAAAATTTTCACTAATCTAGAAAATTGATCTACTTTTTAGATAGATAGAATGCACATTAACTCAAAAAAACCTGTACATCACCATAAAGCCCACTAGCCTAAGGAAACAATGTGTAGCTGACAACATTCTTGTTTTTACTCTTATTTAAGTCCACCAAATTTGAAGCTTTTCTCTTCTTTTTATGTTGATAGAAATTTATCTTTATTAAGTATAAGACCCACTTATCATACAAATCTTACAGCTCTAGCAGGATTTTAGATGGTTGAGTTCTCAATGAAGAAAACAAGTAGCCATACAAATGAGTTACATTGGAATCAGAGAAAATGGAAACATGCACTGTTAAGCTCCCTCTGCCAATGCAGGATTGCTCATACTGCATGATGTTTAGTATTTAAAGTAAAACTAAAGCAGACAATTAAAAGAGGTTATCATCTGCAGCACACGATGAATGTGCGAATGAAGTTTTACATGTGACCTTCATTCAAACTAAAGAAGTGATAGTTTAGGGCATTTTAATACTGTAGCTGATACTCAAGAGTTAAGTTTTGGTTGAGTTTAAACCTGGAACTAAGGAAGAATATAAATGCATGCATGCATAATATCTTATGGATTTGAATCTTTATAAGCTTTAGAATTTGTAATACGCTGTCAAGCTCAATAAGTCTTCACAGCGCAAATGGAAAAAGGTCAAAGTTTAGCCATGTATTACAGAACAATGTTTTCCCTCTTGATACAAATGAGGG